CAAGTAGAGTGATAAGGATTCCATGAGCTTATCCCTGACTTTTTTCGTTTGTGATCCAGAGATTTTTCCATACGATAAAATTGGACTTTTACTACATGAGTTATATTTCCAAGAAGTTGATTCTAGCTTCCTGTTTTGCTTCATTAATATATTACTTTGCCAGTTCAGTTTCAGCAGCCTAAGGTTAAAACATGGAAGGGAAAGGAGGGAAAAAAAAAGTTGGAATATGCTCTTACATGCTCTTAAATGCCCTTTGAGAATTCTCTTCTGTGGGCTTGAACCTCAGCCTAATATCCATAAATCGACTATCTTAGTGAGAAAGGACTTGTGCAATTGCTTCCAGATGTTCTGCCTAAATTTAGGGAGGGGGTTAAGTTCTGGTGTATGTGCCTAGCAAAGATTAAAAAAGTTTTCCTTTGTTGGTCTGTGGTTTGATTGTTGTAACAGGGATCCAACTATGTATTCAGTAGATGTTTCAAAGAAAAAATGGAGTTCCAGGAGTACAGAGGAGAGGATACAAAAAAAAAAAAGAGTTCTTATGAGAAGATTTGGATTTACTTGAGCTGCTGAAAGAACTGTACTTAGGCAAGGTAATTCCTCACTTGTGGATAAAGCCACCTGGCTGAAGGGCTTGTGAGCTGAGAAGGCCGATCATTTGGCTGTAATTTTGGTTGTCTGAACCTCGTATTAAGTCTTCTTCAATGGCAGCTTGTTGAGGCTAAGAGACTGGACCTAGACTGTGCTTCTGTGGCATACTAGGTTGGAGGGAAGGAGGCAAAAACTTGCTATTTAAATTCTTTTTCTTTCTTTTTTTCTTCTACTACCATGAGGAAAACTTGGCAATATACCAAATATACCCATTTTTGTTTCCAGATAATGCTATGCCATTCCCCATGCCATTTTTCAGATTCAACTATGATTCATGAAATACAAACTCTTCTATGGTCCTCATGGCTCCTATCTTTGAATGTTTTGACTTTTGTTTTGGAGTAGTTCATGCTTTATGATAGGGTCCGGTTGTTTGAGGCTTCATGGCTAGGTTTTATGGTTTTGCTTCCATCAGGAAAGTGTGCTTCAACCTTTGTTTTCTTCTTTATACAGAATTTAGCCTTTGTGCCTCTTTTTTCGAGTATTGTTTTAATGGACTGTTAGAAAATAAGTAGAAACTCTTGCTGTATAGAAAGGTCTACACAAGTGATGGGTATTATGATGAGTGAGTTCAGATCTTCAGAGTCTACCTGCCTGTGGTAAATCTCCCTTTCACTGTTTTCAGGTGTGTAAAATTACGCATCCTTTTGCAAAATTCTCCAACACTTTAGTGTTAGAGCACTTAGTTTCAGATGAACAAGCCTATTTCTATTGTCTGGTGTTTGGGTAAAGCAAAAGTGGTTTGGGATTGACTTTCTTTGCCTGATATTTTTGTATTTAGAATTTTTCACAGAATTTAATGCAGAGGGGTTCTGCACTTGACAGGCTGTACTGTGCATTTAACTTTATATGCAGTGAAACTTGGGCTTAATCAGCCCAAAGGCAAAGTAATGAGGGCCCTATGTAAGTAATGAGCTATTGATTTTTAAATTACTCATTTTATTACTATACTGTGGAAATAGTATTATTCTGAAAACTCATCCCTGAAATAGACACTACTTAATTTCAGTATGTGATAGGACAGAAAGGGACTTCAAGGGTTTAATCTCTTGGAATGTAGCATGAGGTCATATCACAAATGCTGGGGACCACTCAGCCTCGTGCAGAGCCGTGTCCTGCCCTCAAAACGAAATGCTGCTTTCCTCTGTTTGAGATGAGACCTCTGAGCAGGGTTGTACCATAAGGACTCCTTCATCTGTCACTGGAAGCTTAAACCTGTGTGCGTTCTGTTGCTAAGTATTTACAACACCTCCAGGATGAGAGAAACGCTGCCAAGAAGGTTCCTCGTGAGAAAATTTGACCTACTTTGCATTTGGCACCTCTTAGCCTGCCAGGACCAGGTAGACTGTGAACAGACCTTCAGTGTATCTTCCGTGAAGACATCCAGGCTGATGCTGAGATGAGAGAACCCTGCTATGGCCAAGCAAATATTGCCAACAGGCAGAAGTTATTTTTTTTTATTTTTTTTTTTCTTTTGCTCCTTCTCTCTTGGGTTTGGAAGGGGATCTGGCCTGGAGAAGAGGCAGAGAGATTTTTTCCCATGGTTTTCCTGATACTGGTTCTTAGTCTTTCAGCATTGGAGTACAGAATCAATTTATGCATCATTTTTTTTTCCAAGCCTACATTTTTGTTTTACAGGTGGTGATGGAATTTTCCTTATGCAGTACATCACTGGAAGTATTAGTAAGCTCAAGTAACAGAGATCACTGTGTACATTCTCTCCCCAAAAATTCATTTTCTATTTCTTCTTCTCTTTCTTTTCTGTTCCTGCTCCCTCTAATACACCAAACTGCATTAACATTTGGCCAGTTTAGTAATCCTGCTTGCAGTGTCTAAACTAAACTAAGGCATGAAACTAGGCAGTAGATATAGTAAGTCTCATCCAAAGCCTTTCATCCAAAAGGGTGAAATGAGCACACCTTGAAATTGCCTGCTCCTTTCCTCCACAGACTGTGGAGGGACTCCAGATGACTTTGTTAGGCATAGATGTCTAATACTGACCAGATATGGATGGCACCCAAGATCTTTTCCAAGAACAGCTTTTGGAAATTCAGCTTTCAGCTTTTGAGGGAAAGATGTTGTGGGTAAGCTTGTTTTGTTTTGACAAAAAATGAGGGAATCAAAGCAAAGGTTGATCTAGATAATGGGCTTGTGAATTCTTTATGCTGATGGATATGGATATTGTGGGTGGGTGGGTGGTTTTGTTTTTCCTTGTGAACCAAAGGCTTTCCATGATTAGGTTCACAAAGGTACTCTCCAAACTTTCATGAAGCTGTTGACTGATTCAAGGACAGTTGAAGGAAATGGGTCTTTGTCCAGAATTAAGCCGCAGGCTAGAGGCAGCTTTTCTGTTGACTTTCAGCGGATGAGCATGGAGCTCCATGGTGGCGGTGCGCGTGCGATGGCAGCGGGTCACGGACAGGTCACTAGGAGCTCCAAGCAAATCGGTCAGTCCGCTGGTGTGTTTGGTCAGTTCCAGTAGCATTAGGCACTGGTGGGGTCTCAGCACTGCGATGTAGCATGACTTCCAGTTCTCTATTCCATCCCAGCCCCACGTTCCCAAGCAGAAGCGTTTTCATCATTCTGGAGAAATACATGTGTTCTTATTTCCATGGCAGGAACACTCATTGCAGGAAAAGCTGCTCTCTGAATTACATGGTTAAATGACAGTGATCTGTGAGGCAGCATTTAAAAGCGGCTCATATTTATACAGCACATCTGTTGGTTAGAAAGCTTAAAAAGGTCACCACCATGGTGGCTTTAACTCACGTGTTATTCTATATATAAGCTTTGAATATTTTGTAGTTTGGAAGACCTAATTTTGTTATCGCGTTAGCAGTAGCATGAAGCTGCCTCTGTCAGTTAGGGTCAGAAAATCACCCGAAGAATTGTCTGTCATATGTGAAAGGGCTGGAGTTTGGAGGCTCTCCATTGGTGTCCTGACATCATCAGCCTTGTCGCAGTTCAGTGCTTTAAATAAAAAGGTCGCACCGATTTTTCTTTTAATTAGTTTTCTCCTTCCCTTCTGGTTTATTAATGTCACCAAAGCAGTTACTGTCCCTCATTGCACTGAATGCTGAAGTAATTAGATTCTCTGCATGACCAGTGGCAGCATTAGTTGGCTAGTGGAAAATTAAGGAAATAAAACTTGCTTATACTTCTCTCTGTCTTAAAGAGCTTTTGTACATGTTTGGGTGTTCAGAAGCCACCTCACTTCTGTGTTTTACATTCTTATTCATGAATACTTAACCCGTGACACTGTCCTTACTCAAAAATGCCTTGAAACTAGAAACTGTAATGATTTTATATTCCGAAAGAGTGTTCAAAGTAAATATATATATTTTTTCTTTTTATAGTTATTTTTAGTAACCTAGCATTAGTTTTAACCAAATACACTAAACAAGTAAAGGCTTTTATAGGTTGTGCCCCCTAATTCAAAGGTCAAATTTTAATGTGATTCCTATACCTTTCCTTCCTCCTCGGTCTACTTTGTTTCTGAGCCAATGAGAGTAAGATTCCTAAGGCTACTTTCTCTTTAAGGGCACTCTGCTTACATAAATATTCCTTTAAAAACGTCTCCTTGCTTTATAATATTAATTGTTTATCAGGAGAGGTGCAATATTCCTTGGAAACGTGTTTTCCTGATTGCACATGCCTTGTTACTATTTCAATTATGCAGATTCTCGGTGCTGTGGAAATTGGTGCTCGATGACGCCAAGGCAGCTGCACGTTGTTAGCATTGTAGGCTGTCAGATGATCATGTGGGATTCTTGCAGCATGCAACATTCAATAGGATTGAAAAAGGGCTTTTGATGCAAGGCATAGCTTTTGGAATATATTTGTGCCTTTTAGTTAGCTGATATAAAAACATAATATATTCTCTTTAAATTTAAAATGCTGCCTCATTTTTCTTCTGGTTGGTTTCATTTTGGCTTCACTAGAAGATGCATCTGGTACATCCGCGATCGAGGAGTTTATTAATGATGCTGTCGTTCAGTTCACTTTTTTTTTTTTTTTTCCTTTTAGAGTCCTGGCTAGCCCACAGATTACATGATCACATGTCCATGCAGGCATTCATATAGAACACAAACCACCATGCATGATTTCTCCTTCTTTCTTTCTCCTCTCTGCCTTTTTTATTTCCTTTAAGTTGCATTGTCATGTTCCCTTTCATCCTCCGTCTTTGTCTCCCCCCGCCACTCTCCGCTCTCTGTTTCCCCATGCTTGGTTACTGCGATATTATTTGATTAACTGGCTGTGATGATGATGAACCTGCACACTGGAGGAGCAGCTACCACGGTGGTGATGAAGGGATGTAATAATGGTCGCTATCCTCGGAATTCTCTCTACAGTGACTGCATCATCGAGGAAAAGGCAGTGGTCTTGCAGAAAAAGGACAATGAAGGATTCGGATTTGTGCTCAGAGGGGCAAAAGGTAGGTGCCTCGGGCTGTGTGTGTGTGTGATGTACGCTGGCATGGAGAAATTTATACAGCCCTGCATATAGGCAGGAATCATTCGTGGTGCACTCGGTTGCTAGACAACAGGGCGCTCACCCTGCTCTGCTCCTCGGTGGGCTCGAGGGGCTTCTCTGCCTGTTTTTGCACGGCAGAAGCACCGCAGAATCGTTCGGGGAAGAGAAAGTTTTATTTGCATTTTTTCCCCCTGCGTCGGCATATGTGACGCTGTGGCGTTCACCTGTTTTGCTGTGCAGTTTGCCTGGCTGGGGGAAACCTGCTTCTCCCATAAAAGCTGCCGCTTTATTTCCAGTGTCAGGCTCTCTAAATAGCTCTGTGAATAGGAAGAGGCAAGCGAGGGATGTTTTCTTTAAAATAGGTGTGGATCTTCTGCAAGGTGACATTGGTGCAGTTTTAGTATGAAAATAGGAGCCTTTTTTTTTTTTTGGATCTCCAGAAACTGCACGTATGTTGCATGGCCTGTAGCATGCTCATTTAAAAAGCTGTTCATATGTTAAACTGTGTGTTACTTTTCCACGGGCTAAAATCCACACGAATGGCATTTTTAAGGGTTAAAAAAAGCATTATATTTAATGTTTTGCTTTTAGAGTTTCAGTCCAGTTTGCTCATTCTGTGTTTAAAAATACCAATATGATGGTATGTCCCATCTCTTGCTCCCCCCCATTTTTTCATGGGTTCTCCCTTGCCTTTCTTGAACATGAAAAATATTCCAAGCCTTCATTCCTGGGACATCATTTTTGCCTGAACAGCACCCTCTACCCCCCACCCCTCCCTCCCAATCAAAGACACTGTGAATTTTCAGTGTTGTAAAAGCTGTTCTAATTTTAGCTAACTAAATATTTTTGGAGTTTTGCTAGGAAAGCCATTAGCTCTACCTTTGAGCCAAGCAGTTGGCATGAGTTTGTCTATGCATCAAGCTGAAGTTCCTCCCTCTGTGCAAGTCTGAGAATTTTTTCCCTGATTTTTCTGTACCACTGAGGGCACCTCAGGTGAAAGAGCCAAGGACTTTCCTGCTTCTTGTATACGTGACAGAGGGAGAGGGCTGTCACATGGCCTGCTCTGCCTTCCTTCTGTAAAATCATGGTTTCTTCTGTTATCTTCTTCATAACATGCATCTAAATCTGGAAGCAAAAAATTAGTTTTGTATTACATTACTTCCTCCCTCTTTTTTTTTTTTGTGGTTGTTGGTTTTTTTCTTCTTCCCAGAGGCTTTCTTTTGGCTACGCATAATTCATTTTTAGTTAGTGTTTCCAGGGTTACAAGCGTTTTGCTAGGCTTACAAAAGGTTCAGTTGAAGTAATGCTGAATGCACTGAAGTAGTTGGAATCCAGCTACTGCTTCCTTCAGCTCAGCTTGTTTGTGTCAATAAAGTGCATTTTTCTGCCCGAATTGACGACCTGTGGATTGTGACTGCAGAGTGGTTGCACTCCGCTCCCAGCATGGCACTACCCAGAGGCAGAGTCCCCTCACTTTCAGTACCCCAAATTTTTAGCTACAAATGATTGTGAGTGGCCAACAATAGGCCTAAGCCAAGCCGTGTTTGTGAGCATTCCATAATTTTCTTTCTTCATGTGGTATTTGTTTTTAAAGCTGACACACCAATTGAAGAATTCACCCCAACTCCAGCCTTTCCTGCTTTGCAGTACTTGGAATCGGTGGACGAAGGGGGAGTAGCATGGCAAGCTGGCTTGAGAACTGGAGACTTTTTGATCGAGGTAGGAGATACTGGATTTTGTTTGTGAATGCCCGCTTGGGGAAAATGCTCCTTGGCAAAAAAACATATGGTGCTTCTCAATAGCAAGCTCGGTGGACTAACAACAATAATGTACTTCACTTTTTTTAATACAATTTTTAGGAAATCATTAAAAAGAACAACATTCAGATCGTTTGGGAAGTTCCTATCTGCTCTTTCTAGTGTGTGGATATATGCCATGAGATGAATATGGAGAGTTTGATTCTACTTTGCATTATTCAATTTAGATATTTATCATTGCTGCCAATTACCCTCTAATTATTTTTGAGGGTTTCACCAAAATTAACGACTTCAGTGATACTCCTGATTGCAGCAGTAGTTGCTCAAGATCTAGTGCTGGTGAGAAACCATACCGAATTAAACAAATGATTTCTGGCTTGAAATAAAATGTTTGCAACCACGTGTTGTAAAGCCAGTTATAAAAATAAGGAATTGATGTTACTGCTATATAAATTACTTCATGAAAAATGTGAATACAATGCTTTTTAAATTTCATTTCTGTCAAAAGTAGCATGACATTTTTTGGTGGATTTTTTTGATTGACCTTTTTATGTTCTGCTGCAAAATAGCTGGTTCTCCTTCTAGTGCTGTTGGTTGACTTGCCACATGATCATAGGATGAGATGTTTTTCATCTTCCTTTCACAACCCTTCCATGACTACTACAGCGAAGTTGTGATTCTGTAGAACTGTTTGAAGATAGGTGTTTCAGGATGGATCAACAGAGTTGAGGTCTTGACTTTAAGATCGGTTGGGTTTTTTTGTTTTTCCTTCAGGTGCATGTATATTTTGTTAAACTGTTTACTGGTACTGTAAGGTTTATTTCTGCAGAGCTGGCTTTTGCATTCAGGAGAGGATAGAGCTGTTCAGCTTTCATTTATTGTGTGCATTCAACTCCCACGGTGACTGAATTAAAATAGTTGCACAGCTTCTTCACTTTGTCGCAGTGAAAGAACCAGCTTCATAGGCTTTTAAAATAAGGAGATGTGCTTTATGGTCTGGACCTTCAAGGTACATCTTCCATACTGCTTATTTTGGAGGGGCACAAGCTCCTCAGTGCTTCTTGGACTCTGGAAGGTTGCTGGATCGTGGTGTTTGTCCATAGTTCATGCAGTCCAGCTTATTTGTAACCAGTGCTGAAAGGAAGTGCTGCTATGTGCAAATCAAACCCATTTCTGTGTAATTTTTGGTGATCGGCACTATACTGTTCTCAATTCTTCAACTTGAATTAGCAGGATATAACAACCCTGAAAATTTACAATTTTACTGTTTTGAAGATTTCTGTGTCGGAGGTTTTTCTCTTTTATGAACTGCATGTACAGTGCAGTGCTGTCTTGCAGTAGAGCCATCTTTGAAGATATGCGTGCAAAAAGGTACTGCTGTTGAAGTAGAAATGACAGGTCTCCACTTAGGTGCTCCTGCACTTGCAGGAATAACAGACTATTCTGTTGAATTGATAAAAATTAGGTGTACTGCCTGTTGCAGTGTGTGGTTATCACACCTGGTGCATTCAGTGTGCTTTACTGTCAGAGGGCTTCTGGGACTCAAAAGTTTACCCCGCGGTCGTGTGCAAGTGCCACCTCAACCCTTTCTAAGCAGTTGTTGGTCATAAATGTCCCATGAGTGATGAAGGGGGTTTTGGATCCCTACGAATAGCACTTGGTTCAGGTGCCAGGCTTTGGGGGAGCCGAGTCGGGCTCCCCGAAAGGGAATGTGGAGAACTGGTATAGTCTTTGCTCAGTAGAGACTTGAAGGGGCTCTCAGCTGGAGTTTGTCAGCCCTCAGTTGAGGCTGTGCATTTTTTCCATTTGCAGTTAAGTTGGTTTTTGGAAAAGCCACATGACACCGATTTGTCCAACCTCTAGAGCTGGCTTTAACCTGCATCTTCAGAGTTTAACGTTAAACTTGCCTGCAGAGATATGGTGTTAACTGGCATTGTGTGAGTTTCTAATAATACATGTTCTTCCTCCCTACTTGAAACTCGATCATATTTTTTTTCTGGTAAAATGGTAATGTGCTTAGTGACTTTTCCTAATAGAGCACAAATAAAAGGTATGAGAACAGTGCAGGAGTAGGTTTAAAGCTGAAAAAGGGAACTAGAGGCAGCTGCCATGATGCACATTCACAAGCGAATTCCCTAGCTGCGAATTCATGTGATGATCTTTTTTTCCTTAGCTTTAATACGCTGTCAAAAATGGAGTATGAACTTGACTTGCTTTTTAGAACTTAGAGATACCGTATAGCTTGTCTTGTTTGGACCTTTTTGCATTTATGTTTTATTGCATTTTAGTAACTGCCCATTTTAAAAAGGCAGATAAGAAATAAAGCAAAATATTAGTGGAATCTTTTAGCCATCCAGACTAAAAGATCGTGGCTCACATTAGGAGAGCATTTCAAAAATTACAGCAATAGTTAAACTATACAGCCTTTGAAGCTACTGTAAAGTTACTAGTGGTCCTGGATTTTTGTAGTCCGCTTATTTAAAATTTGTAAATGCTTGATCAGAAAAGAAATAGCAAGCTGATTTGATTTTTTTTTTTTTAATCGAAATATTTGCAAAAAAAAAAAAGGGTGAATTGGCTCTGCGAACCGCTTATTTCTGAATGATCTTCAGGCACTTAGCACTTTGACTTTATTCGGTGCTGAAGTCCAGCTCAGCAGAAAACCCAGAGGAGTCGCTGAACACTGCAGTTCAAATGGTGCTGCCCTGCATCTGCCCCGGGAAGCAACTTGTGCTTCCCTTGCTTGGGATTTGCTTTAATTAATATACAGCTGTTACCCTCTTAAGCAAGAACAGATCCATATGCCTGAAAGGGGGCTTTTGATCTCAGAATCTCTTTTGGTTTTGTCTTTTGTTGGTAATGTTAGTGGTTTTAACATGTAGAGTCCAGACTGCTAATTAACTGAGCTCTAATTCAGGAAGTACTTGCTATCCCTGTACCTGTACGCGTGCAGGTCGCTTTACAGATGATGTGTGTGATGTGGTACGTGAGGTTTTTCATTGCAACAAAGCCCATCTAATGTCAAGTGATAATGTCGGAATCTCCGTACTGCAGAAGTGACACGGATTCGGTGATGTTTACCGGGATAACGCATCTATCCGCTAAGTGAGGCATTGCAGTTGGCGTTACTGTTCTATAAATAATCATTTATTTTTACAGATGAGTTCAAGTGTTGTTAGCCGAGCGGGATGGCTGTTTATTTACACAGTTAAAGGAAACTAGAAAAATCCAGTATACTTTTAGTAAGAAGCACAAAAACAAAATTTGAAGCTTGATTTGACAATTAAAACTAGAAATGTTACAAGAAGATATGATTTTACTGCAGTGCGATTCATTTGGAACATATGCTGAAACAGGCAAAATGGTCTGTAGTACAAATGCCTATATGTCTTTTTTGCCACGTGCTGATTGAATATACTGGTACAACCTTTTTTTCTAAGCAACAAGTAAAAAATTGGCATCATTTTATTACATGTGGCATTATTTTGTGATAGTAAAGATATTTCTCCTCTGACTGAATGTAGGAAGTAGCAGTAAAGCACATGTTCCAGATACTTGAAAAGTCTGCCTAAATAAAAATACACGTTCACATGTGTGTGCATGCACATGGGTGCACACACACGAGTAACTTTAGATTCCGACCTAGCAGCAGGCAAGGTTTTTGTTTTAGTCCAGCAAACCCTTTGTACCAGCTTCAGAATGGATCTGAACAGCAAGCTTTCAGCTTTATTGTTATAAATTACACTGGAGTCATGAATATTTTTGGCAAGTATAGCGGTGTTATATCTTGCATCTTTATTTCATTGCTGACTGGATGAAATATTGGAGTTTTGCAAGGCCAGCAGATGCTGCTTTAATTCCTTTTAGTAACACAGAAATCTTCCCATCCCTAGGTGAGCTTCATTAATTGCTTTAGGGCTGAATTGCTTTTAGAATTTTTTGTTGTGAACCTTTCTAGCTTCTGTCACCAGATCCTATTTTCTATATTTTTTTTCAGGTAGCTACATTGATTAGAATGTAAGCTACATGAATTATTTATTTATTGCTGAAGGAAATTTGTTAGCATCTTCTTTCTTTTTCTTTGGGTGGTTGTTTTCTGTAGGCTTGCTCATGTCCTCTGAGAAGTGTGGCCACTACCAGCTTGATGCAGTATTTCAGTTTTAGCCTCCCTAATACTGCGTGTAGGAGGAGTAAAGAAGGAAGGAAGGAAAAAAAAAAAGAATCCCTGGATCTTGGCACCCGTTTGTCAGCATGCTGTCGGTACCTGTCACGCTTCTTGCTTTGGTGGATGGAGGTGACAGGGTGGCCCTGATTTGATGCCTCCATCGTGTCCTTGGCTGCCTCCCGGCCAGGTCCTGCTTCCCTGAGCAGAGAGGGATCTGGCATCTTGCTGCTGATGAGGGACTTACTGGTACTGCAACAGTCCCGCACTGCTTGCTTTGCTGTGTGCATATGTATCTTTATATATAAATGCCATAAATACATGCGTTTGCCATGAGTCAAATGCAGGGTCAAAAGGAAGATTTCTGTTTATGTTTGGGTTTGGGGTTTGAAAATCTTCCATTGCATGGGAGAAGTGGGACAGTGGGGCCTTGGAAGACAAGGGCCTTGTCCCACATTGAGCAGTGGTGGATTTGAGTACGCTCTCATGAAGCAGATCGTTTTCTCATTTGATGGAAAAGTATTTTGCTTCCTTTCCACTTAAAATAACCAAGTGAGGTTTTCAGTTTGAAGGTTTTTTGATTTATTTTTTAATGGGTGATAGCAGCTGAATGAAACTATTGTTCCTTTCAAAGCTCTTTGGATCTGCACAAAGGCTGTTTTGGATCTTTCTTTTTATCTATTTAAATGCAGGCAAAGCCTCTAACCTGTAGGAAGTGATGGTATTTCAAATGTGTTTTGTGTGGTCATAGAAAAGATGAACCAATCTTGTTTAATTCTAAAAATATTATATTAAAACTC